AATTCCATGCGTGGCAATACAACACGCCGTAATTCCACGCGTGGCGATACAACGCGTAGTAATTCCATGCGTGGCAATATAACACGCCGTAATTCCACGCGTGGCGATATAACGCGCAGTAACCTTACGCAGGGTAATTCGACACATAGTAATTCCACGCGTAGTAATCTAACGCGTAGTGATCCCAAGCGTGGCGATAGAACACGTGGTGACTCCATGCGTGGCGATATAACGCGAAGTAACCTAATGCAAAGTGATTCAACGCGTAATACCACCATACAGTTTGTAGTAACCTAACGCGTGGCCAAAGCTAATTTGTAACTTTCTATAAATCGTACTTGGTAGCATCCTATCTATTTCTTGTTGGCTACTTCGTAGCATCGTATTTTGGAATACATTCAAATCACTAACACTTCGTTTAATTTTCAAGGTAGATTCGATATCAATTTTTCTTCTTTTTCTAGATACCATCATTCCATCTCGTTTTCGACGTTTCAGAATAATCCACCGAATAGAATAGTTTTTGGTAACATACGAAATTCTGTAATCAGGATGATACTGACATAATTTTATGTTTAAGAATGTTTAAACACGAAGTATTGTATGTTGGAATGCATTCAAGTTACTAATACCTCTTTCAATTTTCAAGGTAGTACCGGTTATCTATAACGTACGTCTCTGTTTAAATATCCCAATCGTCACCGCTTATAATATTCCCAAAATGATCAGTTACTGGATAGACAGCAGTGATTTATTAAAATTTTGTTAGGTAGTTCATACTTCGATGACTATCTTCGCGCTCATTTTCAAAGCTAATCGATAGTCGATTTAAATCGATCAATTCTCGATCAGTTTAGTGTCTATTTTCCGTTCAGGTTATTCAACGAACACGCTTGTTGTTTCTGAACACCTGTCATTGTCCGAGCACGCGGCTGACCCAACGCGGTGTGTAACGACTTTGACAAGATCTTGCATCACCTGGGTCAGATATTTTTGGTGGTCGCGTGGCGTTAAACCCTCTTTGCTAAGCTTCATGCTCGGTTATCTAATACTCCGCGCCTTCTTTTGGCACCGCGTGTTTTGCATAGCGGGGAACTCTCGATGAAAAATTCCTGGCAGCCGAAGAATCGGTATAGAATCGAGCCAGACATCGAATTCATACGTGATCCGAAAGCATTACCGAATTACCTTCGATCGTGTTCTATCGCCACGTGTTATATTGCATGATGTTATATTACCACGTGTATTATCACATGTAATACCACATATTACCACACATTATACAGTCACGTATTTTTATCACTGGTACAGAAATTCTAAATCAAATCCTATATAATTCAAAAATAGTGTAAATTCTACATCATGATGTAATTCAATACACAAAATAATAGTTAGCACAATTGTCTCAAATCTAAAAACGTCAGACATGCGGTCGATCGAAACCTTCCTTATCAAATTTCAATACAATTTCCGTACCTTGAAAAATCTATAAAAATCGAAAATGTTATAAAATTAAATTTGACACGTTTCAGGAGTGCAAAGCGAAGATGAGCTAGAGGTGCCGCCGGAGGATTTATGTCGACCGTACATTGAGAAGGCATTGAAGGACCTCGGTACAGGTAATGTTCAGATGTTGAGGGATCTTCATCTGGAGCATAGCAATTTCTAGAATGTTACGTTTGAAGGATCTTTGGAGCAGACCAGTGCCGAGGCGGGGACCGATGCCGATAAACAGAGTCAAGAAGGAGAAGAGGACGATGACGGACAAGCAGCGAGCGAGGAAGTAAGTCGAATCAAATTGAAATTTTAAGGGTTATGCGATCAAAGAGAATGATTTTTTGGTGTATTTTCAGGATGGCGAGCCAGAAACCGATGTTTCGAAAGAGGATTTGGCAACGGAGGAAGATAAACAGGAGTCTGTAGAGGCTGAAGCTGCGGAGAGTACGGAACAAGCTGAAGAGGAGTCTGCCAATGCGTCCGCGGAGGCTGAAGATGGAGGAGAACAAAGTGCCGAGGCAGATGAAACCGAAGAAGGTGAACATTATTTTAATCCTACAGTGATAAGGACCGGAGAATCAGAGCTCCTAATATTTAATAAAAAATGAAGTTGACCTTCATACGACCTCTACATGTGCATCAACAAAATTTTTACATCAAATTATGTTTCTCTATCAAGCAACTTTGGTCTGATACATTCCATCAGCACACATAAATTATTTAGCCAAATATACGCCTGGAATGTACACCAGAAATATACACCAGAAATGAATACCAGAATAATGTATTTTAGGCAGATGAAGAGTACATCTACAATATATGAGTCTATCTATGAATAGTCAATATACGAATCTTCAGTATATCATATCTTGATTATATTCCCAGTAACCTTCCAGTAACCCAAGTATTATTTCTCAACAGGTGAGACTGACAAAACAGAAGAGCAGTCTGCGGAAGCAGACCAAGGAACAGAGGAGGAGAAGGAGGAATCTGCGGAGAACGTAGAAGAGGGTGCTGCAGACTCGGAACAAGAAGAAGCCGAGGAGGATAAGTCTGGCGAAGAAGCGCAGGAGGACGAAGGAAAATCCGACGAAGAAACGCAGGCCGACGAAGGAAAATCCGACGAAGAAGCGCAGACCGAGGAAGTGAAATCCGAGGAGGAAGCGCAAACTGACGATGGAAAATCCGACGAAGCAGAGGCCGATGAACAATCGGTCGAAGAAGCGAAACCCGACGAGGATCAGTCCGAAGAAGCTCAGGCCGAGGAGGTGAAGTCCGAGGAAGAAGAGAAAGCCGAGGAAGAGGCTGACTCGAAAGCCGAAGAGACGGAAGAAGTAACGGATGCCGAGTCCAAAGAAGAAAAGGACGAGGACGCGCAATCCCAGGAACAGGAAGAAGAAGGGAAAGAGAGTGCTGAAGGTCAAGAGGAGAGTGCCGAGGGCCAAGTAGATGAAGAAGCGAAGGAGAGCGAAGAAGCTAAGGAGGAGTCTGAAGATGCCGCGGAAGATATGACCGAAGAAGAAAAGGAGGCTGAAGAAGAAGGCAAATCAGCGGAAGCAGAAGAAGGTAAATCAGCCGAAGAGGAAGGTAAGTCCGCGGAAGAGGAAGAGAAATCCGCGGAAGAAGCGAAGTCGGATGACGAGGAAGCTGATGAGAAACCGAAATCTCGTGCCAGACGAGAAGTAGGCGAAGAACCAGGAGAGGACGGTGAAAGCGAGGAAGAAACAGCCGAGGACGAGGAACAAGAACCTACACCCGAGGAAGACCTGATCCAAGAAATTGTGGTACCGGAGAACTTACGACCAAGGGAACACATAAATCAACTGCTGAAGTTGGATGAAGAAAATGAGGATAAGGAACGAGCTATCGAAAAGTTAGCGGATATTATTCTCAAGGACTTGAAGAAGGTATACGACAATGCCATACAGCCTTTGGAATCTTTATACAAATACAGGGACTTGAGTAACAGACACTTTGGTGGTGAGTACATTTCCCAGAAAATATATAAGAGTTCAGAAGACTGCTTTTGAAAAACCCTATACTTCAAGTATGCACATCAACATAACGTTGATCGAAGACATTCATCTTTCCAGATCCAGAGATCTTCTCCAAACCGCTGATACTATTTATGGGTCCCTGGAGCGGCGGTAAATCTTCCATCATCAATTACTTGCTCGACATAGAATACAGACAGACATCGTTAAGGACAGGTGCGTAAGTAACGAGAACTTTTTGAATTTGTTGTGCGAGGATGCTTCGACTCGTTTCGTTCAACGCTTAACTCAGTCGGCTGTGATCACGCCTTCAAAAATAGTTTTAGAAAATTAGCGGTAGAAGCATGCTAGGAGCATGAATATACAGATAGTGTTTAGGTGGTTTGAGAGAGTGCTTAGAGGAGCAATGCAAAACGGCAAATGGAAATGACACAGGAGCCGAGCCATCTCCGGCCTACTTCAATATTCTAATGCACGGCGAGGAAGAAGAGATCCTTGATGGCACCCAGCTTGCAGCTGACTGGACATTCTCAGGACTGCAAAAGTTCGGGCAGGGTTTGCTCGATCGTCTGAAGGGTTTACGGCTCGACAACAAGCTGCTGGAAAAAGTGAGTACCTCTTTCAACGACTTTATTCTAACCTTTTCCTGATGTAAATAGTCTACATACAGGTCAGCAAGGAACTAGGTGATTAAATCTCTGAATTCTTAAATCTTCGAAACCCTATCCTTTTTTATAACATTCGCATTTATTTTTATATGACCTTTCTCCACCCATTGCAAAAGTAGAGTAGTCTACCTATTTTCCTGTCATACTATATAAATTGCGTGTCAATTGCACCGTCACTGTAATTTGTACGTGACAACAGGTAAATATCGTCGAGATACCAGGAATCCTAGAAATTCGAAAGCAAGTCCAACGTTTGTTCCCGTTCAACGACGCGTGTCAATGGTTCATCGACCGTGCGGACATAATATTTTTAGTCTACGATCCATCGAAATTGGATGTCGGACCAGAAACAGAGGCGATCCTTGACCAACTGAAAGGAAGGGAACATCAGGTAAGCATCGACGGACGAGTTTCAGCTGTGCGTTAATATAATGTGTAACGCGTACTTCCGAAAACAGACGCGCATCATTCTTAACAAAGCTGATCAAGTAAAACCAGAGGAACTGATGAGAGTGCAAGGCGCTCTAATCTGGAATATATCGCCGCTGATGTCCAGCGCTGAACCACCGATAATGTACTCCACGTCGTTGTGGTCGTTGCCATACGAGGCTGGTGCGCCTACCAGATTATTGTACGCTCAGGAACGTGCATTCCTCCGAGATTTGCGAACTGCCATCGACAAGAGAGTTGAGCACAAGATAGCGAGCGCCAGAAGATTCGCTGTAAGTTATCATTCGAGCTATTTTAGATAAATCGATAAGAGTCATACCTTCTTCGTACTCTAACATATCACCCTAATTTCTAGTTGCTGTATCATGTTTTAACATTTGCAGGTACGAGTGCGCAATCATGCTAAAATGGTAGACTGCTATCTAACCACGTATTACAATCACAAAACATTCTTCGCAAACAAGAAGGAGATCAGCGACAAGATCGTTGAGAATCCTCAAGATTACCATATCTACGAGGGACTGAGTACTCTGAAAAACATATCACGTTACGATCTGCCTGATCCGGACGTTTATCGAGACTTCTTCCGACTGAATCCTCTTTACGATTTCCCTCTATTGAGTTCCACGTGCACATACTTCCGTGGATGTCCGATCAACAGACTAGACGTGGCGATTGCCTACGATCTGCCAGAGCTCGTGGGTAAATACAAGAAGTCCGTGGAACAAGTCATCCATGAGTACGAAACTCCTTCTAGTTGAGTACAATTGAACGTTCTGAAACAGAGCTCTTGATATCTGATACACCGAGGTGTGCAGTGAGAGCAAATTGTATGAGATAAGAAAAGAAAGAGAGCGACAAGGAAACAAACGTTTATACTATTAAGTTTAAGTACTCGAGGCGGTACAGAGAATGTTGTTTATTGTTTCTCTCTCTCAACTGTAAAACAGCAAAAAAGTAGGATTGGATTGCCCTTAGGTGAACAGAAAAGCCAACTGGCTCCTAAGACAATGCAAAAGAATAAAGTAACACCTTTAAACAGAGCTCTCCTGAAATACAAACTTGCGCGAATATATTTAGACCAGACGGGCGAACAGAAGAGACGAAGCTGGTTGGTTCTTCCATAGGTAAGCAACAATGAATATTGGTGACACTACGAAACAAACTATTTGATCATCGTAATGCTTAACATACTTTTAAGTGTATCGGTGGATTGGAATGTCAAAGGTTTTTCAAGATAATACTTGTGTTTGGAGGACAGTACGAGTGTTACCATTCCAATCTAAATAAAATAGAAAAAAATTAAAAAAAAATATGGATAGTGAGTCTCTTTTGAATGTGTTCGAATGCAGCTTTGGATCAGACACGTTTGGAAAAAGCATCACGATAATAGTGGGGTCCTATGATTTGATACATCAAATCTTGCAAATAAAGTGAACTCGCGCGACAAACTTTGTCGAACCTTAGTGTAATGGTTGTGCCAGCTATTATACAACAGCGTGACTTCAACTGTCAGAAGACCAGACAACTGAAGCAGTAATTACATATTATTAAGTATGTAAAATGTATAAAAATATTTCCATTGAGAAAGAGACAAATGATCTCTTTTTTGAGGCTTTTTGTGAAATACCTTGTATAAACAAATTGTGTTCTTATTAAAAGTTACAAAACGTTTATTAAAAAAAAAACAAGAAAAAATTATTAGTTTCTCGATAACATTTTCCCACATTGAAGCATAAGCTATATTTTTAATGTAAATGAATATATTGTTTGTTTTAGTAAAAAAAGAAAAAAGAAAGTTGATTTCTAATGTACCTCGTGTAAATTAAATACTTCTTACACAATATTTGTTGGTTTGCATTGTATTATTAATGTTCACACGTGTGATTGGTTCTTGCAAATATGCAGATTGTTAGCATTGTTATGTTGCAGTTATTATTACTCTCGTTTAAATTATACAAAATTATGTTAATTACATCTATCACGTTAAGTGAACATGTTGATTACATTTAATTTATGTACTTAAGTTAAGTAGACTTAATTTATGTATTTTTCAAACAGGAATATACGTTATGATTGCCATCTGTGTGAACATGACATCTTGATCCTAAAGACTACTCACATAATAACAGTTAAAAATATAATAAACATTTAGATAAAATGAATAGTTTACTTAATATCTTCAAGATAATATAAGAATAATCTAAGTTTCCACAAAAGTACATAAATTAATCGAGTTAAAAGACCTTACAACTCTTTTCATAGCTATTTACAAAATCATAACAAATTAAAAGATAAATACTTACATTTGGTGTAACTGCACGCAACCATTCATCAGCTTGTTCATCAAAGTCAAATTTACAAGCGAGTCTCAAATCATTAGCTGCTTCTTCAAAGTTTCCAAGTAAATGATTAGCTCTTCCCCTGAATTTATGAGCAGCTGCACTATCCGGATTTAATTCCAAGGCACGGTTACAATCACGAATGCAAGCATTAGGCTTATTTAGCAGTAAATAAATTTGTCCACGTTTGGCATAAAGTAAAGATGCCTGTGGATTTAATACAATAGCTTCTGTGTAAAGCTCTAAAGCCTTCTCATAATCTTTTTCTACAAATGCTGATACAGCTTCTGCACGTTTGGCTTGTGATTCTGCAATTTCTTCTTCGGTTGGTTGTAAAGTAGGATTTCCCATCTTTTGTGGAGCATCTGTATCTGGTTCTAAAACATTAAATAAATATCAGTAACTAAAGATATAAAATATTTCTGTAAATACTAAAAGAAAAAATTATATTTACCAATAACTCCAGTCATATCCAACTCCAAATCACTTTCCTCGCTTTCTTCTTCTGGCTCAGGTTCAGGTTCAGGTTCTACTTTAGGCTCTGGCTGAGGTTTAGTTTCCGGTTCTTTGGATACATTTGCACTTTCTGATTTTTGAGACGGCGATTCATCTTTTGGTACTTTTCCTCCAAAATGTTCAATGAACGTTTTTACAAAAGAAAGTTCAGGTTGATTTAACATTGTGGGACGTGTCATGCACAAGTCGATAAATAGTTTTAGTTGTGCAAGATGCTCTGGTGTCAAGGGAAGAGACATTTTGCCACCTGTAAACAATAATTAATAATTAGTTTTAAACAAAACAGTATAAAATAGGTGAGAATATTAGAATATTACAACTAAAAGCTACAAACACACGCCATTTTATCGTAAAATAACGTATTTGTATAAAATGCATCAAATACAAAGCGATAGAACCTATATCTTTTACATCACACTTTCATTTTATAGCCTATAATATTTTACATCTATTAAAACAAAATTAAATCGACAAAGTTATGAAAGCCGGTGACGGATAATTGAAACGTACCTGCGTCTTTAAATATTTCTCAGGAACAACAGAACTTGACGTCAATTTTAATACAGAGTACGAAACAGATTTTGCAGAAATGCTTGATCTACTCAAAATACTGTCGTTAATTGTATTTCCGATACAACAAATCAATGTTATACAAATCACAACAAACTGCTCAGAAAATTGGTACGAAATAAATACGTTCCAGTTTCACCCGATCATAAAGCTCAATACACATTCCTCGCGATGCACAATTTGTATAATCATGCTTATTTACAAGTGACTCTACTTGCATCATTTCTGTATACGATTGGTTATTTCAAGCATTTTGCAGCTGCAAGGATAATAATAAGTTAATGTTAACTCATGTATATTAACGTCTTGATGATCGCATATTTTAAGACATTACGTCTTGCAATTCGAGTTTTACATCCATGGAAAAAGAGATTAATGATAGTAAATCATATTTATGATGTTTTATGATGTATGTAATAAAATGATCAAGTTTAGTATTGAAATATATTCTCATAAAATTAATAATGAATTAAAAATAGTGACGCAGAAAGTATATTAGAGTCATAAATACGTGAGATCGGTCACGTATACAGTAAATAAATAAATAAGTTCAGCTTCGTATATTTATAACTAGTCTGTTTGATAAGACGCTCCGCGCCTAACTTAACAATGTTGAGCGAGCGAGTAAATTTCACGCTAAAGCAAAAATAGTTAACCGTGTCACCAAGTTGAATTGGTTGAGTGGTGCAAGAGAAAATCGTGGACAAAAAAGTTGAAAAGTCAAGTACATAAGCGCGAGCAAATTCAATTTTGCATTAAAGTCTACGGGGATATGGTTTTTCGGTAATTATTCCTCAGTGGCATGCGCGGGCGGCCCGCAGGAGGAATATATACGATAACGAGTATGCAAAATCGTTAATTACTCACTTTATGAGCACAGTCTATGAACTTTTATGATTAAAGAATGGTCAGCAATGCATTATTTACATGGTTCGATCATAAAAGTTCATAAATAATGTTCGGGTAATGAGTAATTAATTATTTTGTGTCAGC